TGTCCTGATGGCAGGGCTTGGCAGATTATTCACATGTACCCCTTTCCCCCCCGAGAGTGGCTAGAATGGTCTTAAGTACGGGGAAAGATAGTGTTATATATTCAGCTGGTTTGATTGAATTTAATATATAATCCTTCAGATGAAATCTAAAATTTTGGAATCATTCATGGTTCCTTTTTCCCCCATAGCATCATTTATCTGCTGTTATCTAAGATAGTGAGTTGAGTAAAAAAGGAACTTTCTCTCCCTCCCCCCATGAGATAGATCTTCCAAACTGCTGCTGTATATCTGATTGCATTAGATTAGAAATGTGGGTGAGAGGAGTGGCAGTTTGAAGGTTTGAGATGTTAGGTTCCTAGGTGTTACACAATACATGCAGCCTGGGATCCAACACTTGCTGAATGAGAGTGTGATTATTAGTAACTTTCAATTTCCATGAATGTTAATAATAATGATTGGATATCAGTTTAAAGGACAATGAATTGATATGTAATGTTGTGATATACTTTAATTTATAAACAAACACATTTCTAAATACATTATTCTCTTTTAGGAGAGACAATGCAATCATCAGAACCAGACAGATATGACCCAGATGTTGGAACTCTCAAACTACATACACATATACAGGCATACCTCATTTTGTGCTTTGCTTTATTGTGCTTCACAGATGTTACATTTCTTTTTTTTTACAAATTGAAGGCAAGACCTTCCATCAGCAAAAGATTATGACTCGCTTTTTATTGTGGTGGTCTGGAAGATATGGTCACCATATCTCTGAGGCATGCCTATATTACCCAGCTCTGTCCACTGAGTGCCTTCTATGTGTCTGGTGCCATTTTAGGAATGGGCCTTACAAGATCTGTGGTCTTAAAGGGTGTACATTCTAACAGAGGGGAGAGAGGTATAAGTGCAGACAAGATAATGATAGTGAAACATGCAACAAAGAAATACTGGAGTGTGTGGGCCGTTTCAGCTGGAGCCATCAGAGAAGCCTCTTGGGGGAAGTGACATTGTAGCTTGCATCTGAAAGATGATGAGACTCCTGCCATTACTAAGAGCCATCTAAGCAGAGAACGGCAAGTGCAAGGGCCCTGAGGCATGAACAAGTTTGGACCCCATTCTGTATAATATTCGTGCTTTGGAAGGTAGCAGTGCTATGGGAATATTGCTGATGAGAGCAACCGTTATCAAGGCTAATGTAGGGAGGAAGAGGTGGGTGGGTTTTCTCTTGCTCATATTCTTCTCTTTCTTTAAACATATAAGACTTACTCCTCTCTTCCCCATTTTTTTTTTGGGGGGGGGCAAGGAGAGTCTATTAGACATTTTGTAACCACTTCAGGACCTGGCACAGTGTAAAGGAATATGAATTTGTTGTGAATAAAGGCCTCATTATTTATCGAGTGAAACTGTATGACTTACTCCTCTTCATAATTATAGAGAACACACATGAACTCAGCTAATCCTCATTGCCCATTCACGTCCCAGGTAGTGATTATTCTTATTTCAGATGGGAAAACCGATGCTCAGAGACATTACCTGATGTGATGGAGATTGCCCATCTATTAAGGGGTAGCCTTGTTATTTGAACCTGGTAGCCTAACTTCACATGCTTGCATCGTCAGAACTAACTGGAAGGATGGGTATTCTTAGAAAGCATAGCCTCTGATAAATGAACATGGTTGTTTCATTATCATGGTATCCCAGTTTATGTTAAAGCATTGGCTAGTGAAACTGCCTGGGGAAATGGATTTCATAAATACATGTTGAACAATATATCATTTGTTCATTTGTCAAAAGTGCTTAAAATGGGTGAAAATGGGTAGTTTAAATGTTTTCAATTTCCAAATGCCCTCTGCTGTCTTACTACTGCATATGTTACTACAGAGTATAAATACTGTGAAACCCAGTCAAGGGCATGTCTGATACTTGTCTATCAGGAACATTCTGGAAATCAGCATTTGTGATTTCAATAACTGCTATATAACTGGTAACAGTCTACTATTTTGCAGACTATATTTTTTACTTGTTTAAGTGCTTCTCATATTTTTCTATACTACTCTTTTTTAAAAATATATATTTTATTGATTTTTTACAGAGAGGAGAGGAGAGGGATAGAGAGTTAGAAACATCGATGAGAAAGAAACATAGATTCAGCTGCCTCTTGCACACTCCCTACTGGGGATGTGCCCGCAACCAAGGCACATGCCCTTGACTGGAATCGAACCTGGGACCCTTCAGTCCATAGGCTGACACTCTATCCACGGAGCCAAACCAGTCAGGGCTCTATACTACTCTTTGAGAATAAATAACCCATAGCATAAATAAACTATATGAAGTACAGGATTGGTGAGAGAGAACTTTGAACTTTACATTGGACAAAGAGGAGGATTATATCCAATGGTTTCTGTGTGTGTTTTTTTCTTTTGGCCTTACAGGAAAGTAAGAAACTTTCCCCAGCACCTCTCTCGACACAGCAAAGGTGCCTGGTGAAACATTCACCGAAGGAAATGCAATCTGGGTGGAGTATTCCTTCACCAGTAGTAATAATTGAGCACAGTGTGTGCATTGTTCTATTATCTGTACCATTCCTGGTACTACATGGCGGGTGAGAAAACCAGCAAACTTTTCTACAGCACTTCCTGTGGACCAGAGGCGTTAAATAACTTGCCTAGGGGAGCAGTTAGTCAGTACCAGAGCCGGTTTGGGGCCTGGGGTGGGGGGTAGTTTCCCAGTCCTTACTGTGCTATGGGGTTATCTGGGTGGCTCTGGCTAGGTTAAAACAACAGCCAGACAGCGAAACAAACTGTAATTAGCGTGAGGGAATACCCCAATCTGTCAGCTTCTGAGAACCTGCTGGGAATCTTGGCTGAGCTGGGTGTTAGTTCGGCTACTACTGACTTTCTTTTCACATGCAGCCACTTTCAATTGGAACCAAGACTTCCTGTGAATGCCTTCTGACGTTTCTCGAAGAAGGGAAATAAGCATATGAATTTTTTAAAAGTTCTTGAAGTCTATTGATTTTTTTGGAATGGATGCAATTAGTAGTTCTCATAAATTCCAAGAATTATTAATCCTGGCATGCTTGGGTTGCACGTAACACTCTTTTCTTTCTTTCTTCTTTAAAAAAAATATATATTTTATTGATTTTTTACAGAGAGGAAGGGAGAGAGATAGTTAGAAACATCAATCAGCTGCCTCCTGCACACTGCCTACTGGGGATGTGCCCGCAACCAAGGTACATGCCCTTGACCGGAATCGAACCTGGGACCCTTCAGTCCCCAGGCCGATGCTCTATCCACTGAGCCAAACCAGTTTCGGCCATAACACTCCTTTCTACTAAAAGATGCTGTAGGTTCTGCTGCTTTGATGGTGTAGGAGTAGCTTGAAACATGTGCAGTAATGCAAGTGTCCGTGCTGCCAGCACAAATGGAAAAATATATTGCTTTAATTGCAAATGCAGGCTGTCTAGTCTGCCTCCCTTTACATTGAATCTGACTACTCACTGTTTCTGGGAGGGTGGGGAGAGAGGGGGCGAGAGGAGGATTTGGCCTTGTGGTTTATCAGAAAGATCCCAAAAAAAGCTTGGAATGTGGATTCTAATGGTGACCTCCCACTACTCCTTCTCCCACTGGCGAAGGGGAAATAAACAAAACACAACCTTGGAGATTCTGAAGCCAGATGTTGACGGAGCTTAATGTGCCACATGCTCTGGGGGATTATGTTCAAATGAAGATTCTGATGAAGGGCTCTGGACTGGGGGCGGGTGGGTGTGGGGAGGCCGGGATTCTGCAGTTGCAAGAAGCTTCCAGATGATGCTACTTTTAGTAGCAGGAGTGTAGCTGACCCTTTCTGACCCAGCTCTCTGTCTTAGGGCTGTGTTGATTGCCTGAATCACCTGTGGGAGTTTGAAGGAGGAAGATCCCCCAAAGGATTGAAGGATTGAATTAAGGATTGAATTAGAGTTACTGGGGGGCCGTGGCCAGGCACATTATATATATATATATATATATATATATATATATATATATATATATATATATATATATATATATATATTGTTAATCCTCACCAGAGGATATTTTTTTCCCATTGCTTTTCAGATAGAGTGGAAGAGAGAGAGGAAGAGGGAGGGATGAAGGGAGAGGGAGAGGGAAGGGTTACATGGGGAGGGAGAGGCAGAGGGAGAGTGTGGGAAGGGGGAATGAAGAGAGAGAGAGAGAGAGAGAGAGAGAGAGAGAGAGAGAGAGAGAGAGAGAAATATCCATCAGCTGCCTCCTGCACTTGCCCTGACCAGCAATGGAACTGGAACCCACAAAAGGTGGGGAAATAACAACTTTGAAAACTTCACTGTAGGATTGAGATGTTTGGAGGCAAACTTTCTGACACCCTAGGAGCTTCCTGTTTGACCCAAATGATGGGAGAAACCTTAGCCACCCTTCTTGGCAGGGCACTGGCCAGTCCTTTAGGATTGTATCCAGACCGGCTTCAATCAGAGAGCGTGGGGAAAAAGAGGATTTAATGGCTAGGTTGCTGACCTGCTTAACATTAGATAATGTCTGTGAGGGCTCCCAGTGTTTGTCCAGGGAAGCTGGGGCCCACATATGGAGAATAGTAGTCCTGATTATGAGGTAGGAGTTGAAATTACACTTGTGCACATTGAAAGTGTTATTTTAGCTCTTGCCTGTGTTCCTGGCTTTGGAGTTTCGTTTTTGGTGGTGCTGGGAGAGCCAGGGCGAGCTGGGAAGATAGGGCTTGCTGCTGCCGCTGCTGGAATGAAGAGCGGATTCTATGGTGCTCCTTTCCCAGTATGACCTTGTCTTTTCTTTTTCTTTCTTCCTTCCTTCCTTCCTTCCTTCCTTCCTTCCTTCCTTCCTTCCTTCCTTCCTTCCTTCCTTCCTTCCTTCCTTCCTTCCTCCCTCCCTCCCTCCCTCCCTCCCTCCCTCCCTCCCTCCCTCCCTTCCTCCCTTCCTTCCTTCCTTCCAAATAACCGACACTCTGTGCTCGCTTCGGCAGCACATATACTAAAATTGAAACAATACAGAGAAGATTAGCATGGCCCCTGCGCAAGGATGACACGCAAATTCGTAAAATAACCGACACTCTTTAGTAACTAGCTTTTTAAACATTCCTTAAATCGGACTGTCAATCTTTTCCCCTGAGGTCATGCAGGAAGATAAGACACCAGATGGAGAGAGTCTTCTCAGCTTTCCTGTCCCCCCCCCCTTTTTAATTAAAAAATTGATTAAGGTATTACATATGTGTCCTTATCTCTCCATTGCCCTCACCCCCCACTCATGTCCTGTTTTTATTTTTTTTTTTCATTTTTAAAAATATATAGATTTTATTGATTTTTTTTTTCAGAGAGAAGGGGAGAGGAATAGAGAGTTAGAAACATTGACGGGAGAGAAACATGCATCAGCTGCGTCCTGCACCCCCCCCCCCCCCCCCCACTGGGGATGTGCCTGCAACCAAGATACACATCCTTGACCGGAATAGAACCCGGGACCCTTCAGTCTGCAGGCCGACGCTCTATCCACTGAGCCAAACCAGTTAGGGCTCATGTCCTGTTTTTAATGATTAGTTTTTTTTCAAAGCAAAGTGTTTCCCATTCTTGTTGCCTTTTCATACCCCAGCTCCTTAACTCATCTAAGGGTTAAGAAAATAAAATAAAATAAGGGAAAGCCTGTAATCAGAAGAAAAAAAGATTGGATGTTGACTCTCTTTTTTGAAGCTTATAGGTGAGAGAGATGTTGTGAATTGTCGCCATTACCTTCTGCATCAGGGAGAACTGAGGAGAGAAGCAGAAGATCCGGGATGAGGGTTCTGTTTACACGTTGTGGGCACCTGTATCCCTTGCTGAGCCTGAAGTTGCTCTAGGAAAGTGGGTGTGGGTGAGAGCCAGGAATTTTAGAACCTGCCCCTGACTCTCCCACCCCCAACCTCAATGACAAAAGTGACCTACAGAAGAAGCTGCGTCCTTCCAGAAAAAGGGAAAGAGGAGGCCAGTCCTATCAGGTCTAGAATGTTGTTTCAGGCCCTGGGGGATAGCCTGGCCTTGAGAGAGACAGAATTCCAACCCGTCTTGGTGCGTGCACAGTGCTAAGGGGGCCCATAGGGGGAACCTAAGAACCTGCCACAGGATAGGAAAGAGTAGATCAGGTAAAGAGGATGGGGCCAGTGAGCCAGGACAGGGGTGTAGTGTGAGCAGAGGCCTGGAGTGGAAATGGTTTGATGGGTATTTGAAAGTAAGCTTTGCCAGTGAGTTAAATGACAAGTGGGGACAGTGAGGCTGGGGGTTAACAGGGATCTTGTGTGCCTCTGTAACGAACTTGGACTCTAGAGGTAATCTGGAAGCACTGAAGGAAGGATTTGAGGCATAGGCGTGATTCTATCAGATGGGGATGGAGGACAAGGGCCTTAAATCAGTAACTTTTTTCTGAATGATCATCTGCTCCCTTATAGCTTTTAAAAAACCAGCTTTCTTGAAATCTAGTCTGCATACCATAAAATTCACCCGTTGGAATTCAATTGTTTTCAGTGTATTTACAGAGTATGTAACCATCACCACAATCTAATTTTCAGAAATGTCCATCACCTCAAAAAGAACCTTGTGCTCATTTGCAGTCACTTCCCATTTCCATGCCCAGCCCTTGGTAACCACTCATCTTTGTAATTTCTCCTTTTTCTTTAACATGACGGGAACTATTTTTCTGAGTGTATTATTTACTTGAAAGAGTATCTTCGCCACATTACAAACTCTTGCTCATGGCCCTGCAGCTATCCCTCAGCTCATTCCTGTCAGCCATGGGACTGGTTTAAACCCGGATGTTTGTTATACACAATTGGGAGGCTACAGATAGGGTGGGTCCTGAGGGCAGTGTGATCAGCTGCTCTGAGTGACTCAGAGACCGGTGTTCCGGCCATTTCTCCTCCACGGTGTCCTTCTGGCAGTAGCTTCACCCAAGGGCTGGTGTCTCGCTGGTTGTCAGGCTGTTGTAGGATGGCATCCACTGGCATCCATTGACTCCTTGTTCACAGCTGGTTCTTGGGAGAAGTCCTTTCCTGCAGTTTGCCTGATTGGGTGAGTTTAGTTCCTGTTGCCCACCCGGAACCAATAATTGGCTTAGAATGAATTAGGCTGCCTCTCTGGAGGTGAGAGTGGACCTTATGGTGGATGGGTGGCCGCTGTGGCCAATAGTGGGTTCTGCTGGGTAGGCTTGCAATAAAATAGTACGTGAGTGTTTTTGAAGCTGACCCTGGCTTTATGTCACTGTGAAACACTCCCCAGTTCAGAACTCCCCAATTCAGGAATTTGTTGTAATTTGGTCAGAGAGTGCGCGTGGAAGTTGATCTTTGGGAGTTTTATTAGTGTGGACATTAGTGCGTATGATGTTAACATTAACATATGTGGAAGATGAGTGATTTAATTCAGAGTAGAAAAATCTATTTGCTTGAAGATAGAAATGTTTAAATAGCCCGGCTGGTGTGGCTTAGTGGTTGAGTGTTGACCTATGAACCAGGAGGTCGGGGTTTGATTCCCCTGGTCCCGGCATATGCCTGGGCTGTGGGCTCGATCCCCAGTGGGAGATGTGCAGGAAGCAGCTGATAGATGATTCTCATCATCGATATCTCTGTCTCTCTCCTTCTCCCTTCCTCTCTCTGAAATCAATAAAAAATATTTTTAAAGAAAAAAATGTTTACATATGTGATTAGTAGTAAATAATATAAAATCATTCTTATCTGGTTATTAGGTTAGCCCCTTGGAATCACTCCTTGGGGGAAGGGAGGAGGGGGGAAATCCTGTCCTGAATATATATATCGGTATTTGAGGAACTATATAAACTTGAAATTAACAGAAATCAACTTCGCTTTCAAGTACAATTCATGCTTCATGAAGCCAAATAGACAGCCTGCCAGTTATTTGGACTTTATTAAATTTTGTTTTATACGTAGTAAAAACGTCAAGGTATGCCTGTGCTTTGCAAAGTAATTTATTTGATTGTGAGCTCTATTTTCAAGTCTGTTTTGGAGCGAGGTTTGTCCTCATGTCAGTAATGAGCTTTGCTGGTGCAGCTCGTAATGGTGAGAACGGATGTTGAAGAAAGCAAACACCATATGCCCTTTGTTTCCCCGTGCATGTCCCCTCCTGGAGGCTGGGTGGAGTGTTTCAGCTGTCTCGAATAATCTCCATTTTGCTGTTACTGCAGACTTGCGTTCTCCAACTCCCTTCTCTCTGATGTTAGCTACAACTTCCTAATTAGGTGGCTCTTCTTCCTCTTTCTCCACCTAGGTCGTAAAGGTTTCACACTCTCACGTGTGAGAGAGTGGATTACTTTTGAAAAATGAGTTTCACTTGAATTGTGACAGGAATAAGTGCGGAGAATAAAAAAAAAACAAACCCACCCAGTGAGAATGTGTAGTGGGAGGGGCAAGGCGGGCTGGGTACGGGACAGGATGCTTAGAATAATTCAGCTGCCAAGTGAATCAGAGGGACTTGGAGTTCTCAGCGAGGACGGACCGTACTCCTGCCCAGAGTTCAGACACTGTCAGCCCCAGATCACCATTTCATACCCCACAGAATGGAGTCTCCCGCAGCCAAAACCCCGAGTGCTGTAGATGCGTCTGAGATTGTAAGTAGGCCGTACATCTGTTCGGATTGTTATTATGTCTGCATCTTTTGTAGCCTGTTGCCTGACTACTTCGTGGGCCAGGAGGGAGAGGTGATGGGGAATTCGGTCCCGGCTCAGTCCTTCCCAGATGGTGAGCAACACCATTTTCCACTTGGATTCGGCTCTCAGTTTTCTTGTTTGGGTGGAAGGAAATTTCTTTCCCCGAGCCCTCCTCTGTGACAGAAGTGACTCTTGGCGGAGTCCCTTTAGAATTAGCATCTATAAAGATTTTTAATAGCCCTGTCATCTGGTGTGATGGCTCTTTCCTTCTCCTTACTGCTATTGATGAGTTTTTTTCCAGGGGATACTGGACACAGCTCCAGTCCCCTCCCCACCTCCCACACTGCAGGTGGCCCTTTAATCAGTGAAGTGTCCCAATCAAGGGTTGGGAGCAGGTAACATTGCTGAGGGAGCTGGCCAACTGGGAAAGATAGAGAGGGAGGAGGTAAGACTGAGATGAAATGTGGGTCAGAAAGATTCGGGGTCCTCTTGCTAGATTCTCACTTAGCCTTGGGCCACTAACAGAAATCTCTCCTAGTCTTACAATCGCATGTGAAAAATCACAAGCATTGCACTTCGTGCGATCGCTGAATTTTCTGAAGCACTTGATGTGAAAGTGCCTGGCACTTGGTAAACTCTAGCTGAGCGATGTGTTTTGACCTGCCTTCCGCATTCTCCTTCCTCCATGGGATAGCATATCATCGATGCAAGCGATGTGCTGGGCTCTGTGACATGGCACCCATGTTGTTGACCTCGGCCTGTTTTAGGGCAGCCTTTGTGGCGGCCAAGTTCTCTTGGGTGGCGTCATAGGTTTGATCTTGAGGTTGGCCGGTTGGCCTTGCTCAAGTCCACAGTCCCAGGTTCCCCTTTTTGTCATAGAACCCCTAAAACAAGGAGGTCCCAGGGAGAAGGTGTGTGTGGGTTATGGTATGTCTCAATGATACATTTGTGTTAAAGATCGTGGGGACTGGGGACTCAAGTCATGAGGCCATTTTATGAGTCCTATAGGTAGAGTGATAATCCAGAAGAGCCATTTCCAGTTGTGGGTTTCCAAGTTATGAATATTTATGCTCAGCTGGGGCAAGGGAGAAGAAAAAGAAAACACTTAAACCTGGAAGAATGCTGCTCAGGTGCTCTCTGATTTCTGAGTCAGAAGGAGTTGTAGGACACTGTCATGGTAACTTTTCATTCGCTGTTTCGGTTAACCTGTTCATGGATTTAGGCAACCATTGATCAATTTCCCAATGGCCTTTCCATCATTATGTGTGTTTATTTAGGGCACTTTCCATTAGCTTTATTATGTGCTTTATATTTGGTAACCGTGAGTTTAATTGCTAATAATAGTGTTCCCTTGTCAGTCACACGTACTCCCACCTTTTTACCCCCATTGTATTCCTTGTATTTCATCTCATATTTAGGCTAAGGTTGTTTGCCT